CACCATAATAGTTACGGCCATAAAAAACCATAAAAAAACAGAGTAAAAAACAGAAAAACGGAAACCTGGTTGCCGAGTTCACGAAGTGAAATGGCTTGTTTTACAACGTCGTTGCCAAGCGACGATGGCAAACACCGGGGGGGTTTAGCCACGTTCGGGAGGAACTTACGGTAGAAGCTGAGACCACCGAGAAGGGGACGTAGTTGCTTGACATCCTTGGGCATAGGAATTTTGGTGAGGGCCGAAACCTTGGCACCGTTAGGCCTAACGCCGTCAGAGGAGATGGTGTGTCCGAGGAAGTCTGCTTCAGTAGCGCCAGTAGTAGCTTTCGGAGGCGTGCACGCAAGCGTTCAAAGAGTGCGCGCATGGCACCAACATGAGTTGCAGGGGTGTCACCAAAGACGACCAAGTCATCCAAGTACGATGCAACACCGCGGAGTTTTTTTATGACTTCGTTGACAACTTTGCAAAACCACTCAGGGGCAGCCGAACTGCCTTGAGGCATCTTCAACCACTCGAAAAGCCCGGAAGAAGTCACGAATGCCGTCAAAGGGGTTGTATCGCGGTGCACCGTGATTTGGTGGAATGAAGATTTCATGTCGAACAGGGAATAAATTCGCCCTTTCAACAACTTGTCCAAAGTATCATCGACTCGAAGAATCGGAAGCTGATTCAGAGCACAAAGCTTGTTGAGCTTGTGATAATTGACGGTGATGCGAACACCACCATATTTCTTCGGTATGACTACCAAAGGGCTCGAGTAAGGCGAGGTCGAATGTTGGATCAAACCTGCCGCAAGATATTGGTCAAGGATCGCGTCAACTTGTTTCGCCACCGTGGGACTAACGCGGTAGGGGGCGAGACGTGACGGGTGCTTTGCCAGGAGGACCTGTAAGCTTAAAGGAAAAGCGAACAAGATCCAAAGGCGGTCGGAGAACTCGAAAGCACATCATGGTACTGGCACAAAACGTTACCAAGCTGAGTAATGACATCGGGAGTCCAACCCGGGCCGTGGAGATCAAAAGTAATCTCACGGAGATGGCAGGGGAGCTCATCCCAGGCTTGGGAAAAACTTTGACGCTGTTCTGGCGTCAACCGCTCGAGAAGAGCAGGCGAAGGCGACGAAGAGGAAGAACTGGTGGAACCAAAGTCCCTTCGGTCGCTTGGCGACGGGACGGGTTGCTCGTGCAAATTATACACAAAGGGGTCAGAGACAGAGTGCGTGGCAGACGAATCAACGCCACCTGTAGAAACAGGACCAGAGACCCAGCTCTTTGAAGCAGCGGTGGATTCTGAAGCCGCAGTTTGAAGACCATCGCTCAAACTGTGGCGAGAGACAGCGCTAAGAGGCACGCGAAGAAGGGGAGCCGAAGCTGTACCCAGAACGTCGCCAGGTTCGAGAGACGAGATGCCCGCAAGAGGGATTCGTTGGCAACCATTTTGCACAAAATGTTCCTCGGAAAAAAAAAATGCACATTGGGGAAGCATATCCACCAAATAGTCACCCACAAGGCCAGGCGAGCCACCATTGCTTACCAAATTGACCTGAATGAGACTATGCTCTGGGTGAAGTTGAACGGAATGTTTGCCTGTATAGCAAAGTTGGTAACTGCCATCCGTTACGGACAGATCGTGAGCAAATGCAGTCGCACCACAAGCGTCATGTTAGGCTAAAGTAAGCTCAACAAAGACACGGTCGCCAGGACGTTTCGCACGCAAAGTGCGGTAAGAACGTTCACTAAACCGCATCCAACTATCTCTGCCGAGGAGCACGTCATGATGCATGACGCCGTCAGGAACAACGTATGCCCAAACAGCAAGAGAAGAAGTAGGAAGGTACTGACGGAGAAACTGAACACTCAAACGGACCATAGTCGAAGTTTGAAGCGGCGCAGATTTCCCAAAACCACCCCAACAGCGAGGTTGAGTGTGTTTCTCAGACAAGGTCGAAGCAGCCGAAGCCACTTTCATGAATCCCCATGCAGAAGCACTAATAAAAGACTGCGGAGAACCCGTATCCAAAAGAGCGACACACCCAAACTGCACAGAGGCCGAACCGCTGTGGAGGAGGGTTCTGGTGGTGAAAGAGTCGTCATCGATGGCGACAACACCACCAACCAAATCCGGACCTTGCTCTGGGAGCGAGGAGGAGGACGACAAGATGTACCCTGAAGACACGGCCCAAACGGCGGTGTCGTGATCCGACGGAACATTCGGAGCGTATTGCGAAAATGACACGAACCGGTCGGTCGATAGAGGGCACGAAGCCGTCCGAAGGCGCTGGTGTGTGGAAGGGTTAACTTCATACACCGCAGAATGAAGGGACGACGTCGGAACGTGGTCGGTCGGGGGCAGCAAACAAGAGCTGCGCTCGAGAGGCGGGGCACGGTGTCGTAAAAGACTGCGTACGTTCTGTAGGGGGGTACCTAACAGATAGAGGCCGCGCCATCTAGATGTGCATCCAGCGTCAGGATGATCGGCCTGGAGGCCAATGCCCCAAACACGGTCGTAAGGACTGGCTTCGGCACGGATTTTGTCATCAGATCCGAGGAAATGATTTCGTAACACGGAATTTTGACTAAATTTTGCGTAGAGCCAGTGAGCACAATGTTTTCGCGTTCTTGTTCCCAAAGAGATTGGTCGAAACCGCGGACCTCACGGCCAAACCTTGTGTGTAAGGCATGGGCTGACACTCGCATGACGTTCTGCAAAGCACAGCGATCTCCGAAAAGCCGGTCTTTTTCTGTAGCGAAAAATTGTTCGGCACACGAGTATACAACGCCATCGACCGTGAAGGTCGACGGTGTCCATTGGGAGAAAGGGGAGGGCGGCTTCCAAAAGAAAACCATGTCTGGAGTACAAAACTCGGTAGACGGGTCGAAAACGGCCGGAGCAACAGAGGCCGGAGCGCCCGGAGTGCTGTTAGTCGAAGCTGGAGTCACAGACGAAGATGCGAAGTCATGATGGACAGTATGGATATGCATGGGGGTGATCCTTGCAACAGCGGGAACCGACGAAGAATCGACTTGAGTCGGATTGTTCGCATTAATTGGGCCAGCAACACTGGGCTGGGTGCACCCCAATTCTTCACCTGAAGAAACGCCTCGTAAGGTGTTCGGCAACAGGCCGCTTTCGCTGGGAACGGCTGCCAAAGCCGGGTTAGTTGAAGAACTGAACCGAGCATGGCGTTCCTGGCCATTCCCCGGTGACAAGGTACGCGAGACCGCCGGCTGTTCGGAGGTCACTTCGGGGACGTCCTCCCGAAGCGGTGGTGTCGACACTGTCGACGTCGGTCCAGCAGCCTAGAAGTGGGTGCCGTTGTGCGAGCGTGCGTCGGAGAAGGTGGGGCTTGCAAAGACGACCCACGGTCAACATGTCGCGTGGCGGAATCTGAGGATGTCCGGTGGTCGGAACCAGGGGGACAAAGCGATTCGAAGCCAGACGAATTTTACCCTAAAACTTGCCGGTCGGAACCAGTCAAGTTAGCTATCGGTGCAACGGTCGAAGGCGGACCCTCAACAGAAGCGAGCATAGACGAATTGAGCGTATCCGAAGAAGCACCTGAGGCAATCAATACGGGCAATTCTTCATCAATCGTCCAGAGGTCATGGCTACTGCCGATCCTATCTGTAGACGACGGGGGGAGCGAACGAGAGGTGCTCGACGAATGAGGAGAACTCTTTGGCCCCGAAGGTCCAACGGGTCTGTTCCCACACCTCACGACAGCACTCACGTCAGACTGATTAGTTTCCGACGAAGCAGCAATCCGACGAGGCGAGGGTGCAGAGGTTGCAGACGGTAAGTGCGATGGCGAAGGTGGGATGTGAGCATTTGGCTGAAGACCGACCTGATTGACACTTGAAGAAACAGCGTGTACCTGAGTACCGCTGTCATTGGATAGCACCGAAATGCGAGAGCGCGTAGGGAGAGCATTTACCGAAGTGTTGTTGTGATTGCCTAGGATCGAAGTGCTAGAGGCAACAGAGCGCCTAGGGATAAGCTGTACCGAAGTAGAGTTAACGTTACTTATCACCGGAGTGCTAGAGGCACCTGAGGGTGATACACGCGCGTCTTGTGTTGAGCGAGACGAAGTTCCCAAAGATGCTGGAGGAGGTCCGAGGGAAGGAGGCGAACCACCGTCGGGGAGTCATCCGGTACGTGAACGGCCGCCATTGTGGAAGTTACCAGGTTGGCGTGCGTTGTGATTGGTCGAAACCATGACGCCAGACGAGGGACCAGTTTGAGCATGCGATTGGGGTTGATAGACGGACAGAGCACCAGTGTGGTGGGTGTTACCAGACGTGTGTTGTGGTTGATGATGGTTACCCGCGGAATGTCTCGCGGTTTGACCACCGTGGTGTGATTGTTGGTGGAGATTGTGAGAGGAACTACCACCGTCGGAACGGCGAGGCCCAGCGTGGTTTCTACGCTGAGAGGAGGAGGAAGTAGACTGCCGGTGGCATTTACCCTGATTGATATTGCGGCCTTCTGAACCCTTACGCCTGAAGGATCGCATGCGACCTTGACAACGCCTAAAGGCAGCAGAGTCGTCATTGAGGTGACCCAACTCGGGATTCAACAACCCGCTAGAATTCGTGAAGGGAGAAGCACATTGCTTCATGGAATGGTCATCACCCGAGCAGTTCAGACAGCGGTTTCTGTTTTCGCGGAAGGCTTGCGATCGAGCCTCTTGTGACAACTAAAGAGTCCATAAAAAAGGATCATCGGTGTTTCGAAAATTAGCGACGAGGGCGAATACATCAGACCAGTCGGCTAGCGAAGCAGGCCACGAGTTGTAGTTGTGCGTGAAAGGATCTGCAACTTGAGGTTGCACGGGTGTAACTACAGGGTTTTGTGCGGAGCCGGATGCCCACTGGGCGGAAGACGCAGGGGCGCGGTGGTTAGACCGCCGAGGCTGCGGAGAGTCACGCGTCGAAGTCAACGAGAAATAAGATGAACCACCGGTAGTCGGGGTTTTATTGGTCGCCAAAGGCGCGAACGCCTCCCACAAAACTGCAATTGACTCAAAGGGAGTGACCGCAGTGGCCGAAGCACCCGGGTAAAACAGCGGAGACAGACTCGGAAATTGCATGTCGACCGAGTTTCGCACTATTTCGAGAACCATGGATACACTATAATAGGGGCCAAAGTACGCTCAGAACCAGTCACAGACGAAACTAGCAAGCGGAAAGCCCGAAGATAATCCGCGAAGGAGTACCATCTGCTACACCAAATTGTTGCAGCCGCAAAAATGACTCTTGGCGGTCTCCGACGTCAAATTACTCCGGCAGGTGGCGCAACAGTAGCTGGAAAGCGTCTGGTCCAGGGTTTTCCCTCCATTCAAGCTCCGTTTCACAAGCTGAAAGTAATCCGTAATGGCAAGGACGAGATCGGCGGTAGAGGGCTTGTCAGGCGTGATCGCACTCAAGAGTTTTTTTTCGAGAGGACGTTCCCATCCACGCACAAGATCAGTGCCTGTCAAACCTTCACTCTGCTCGTCACACAACAGCAAAATATCGGACAAAGCCGTTCTTGTTGTGCGAATAATCTGCTGATAACCGTCTCCCGGCAACAGAGTAGCGGAGAAGGGCATGGTAGCAACATATTCATTTTTTTTCAAGTTGAGGGTGATTGCGCTTGGTGTACTGTAGCTACATGAGCATTACGAGCAGCTGCCTCAGTCGCATCGATCGATGCTTGACGAGTGTGTGCCGTGTTAGAAGACAGTGGCAAAGCACGATCATCGGAAACAGCAGGGGGTGCGGCGACGGCCACCGGAGAAGCTGTGGGAGCATGGTCTGAGGACAACATACTATGCGAAACACCCGGCACTGGTGGTACAAACGCCAAAGGGGGGTTGAGGTTCGAAAACCCATGGTTCTGAATCAGTCGTGGATCTACGGCATGGCGAGCGGTGGAAAGGCTACGGGGTGCAGAGGTTTCCAAAGAAACAGGGATGGCCGAAACCGGGGCTGAGTTGGAAAACTCAACGCTACGTACATATCCGGAGTTTACAGCATTGAATACGGCAGAACGGACAGAAGGTGCAAAGGGTTCCAAAGAAACGGGAGAAGCCAAAGGCGGTGGAAGGTCCCAAAACGCAACACGACGCAAACGCCCTGAGTCCGAGGAAACAGGGGGGGCCGAAACCGTACCAACAACCAAAGTCGAGGGGGGGACCGAAGCCTGAGAATGAATATCATCATGTAAAAGGAAACGATCACTCAACGTCGCATCCGTAAGGGACGGGACTACTTGCCCGGAAGAAGGACCCTTCCGAGCGCCGTGCTTTGGGTGAGACTCCGGTCTGCGCCTGAGCCCGATCCGCCTCCACTGCCACGAGTCCCGATCGTGTGGCCCTTGGCCTGCTGCCGTGCCCGGCCATCGCACGCCGATGAAGATGGCTGCGGGGGGCGGCGAGACGCTCCCGCGTTACTCCAGCCCGAGTCCTCGCCCGAGCTACTCTCTCGCACGGTGCGCTGGGCCGGCTTGGCCTTGACGCGGCCGGCCTTGGGGTGCTGGAACGCCGAAGGTGCCGGAGCCGCCACGGTGCAGCCGGGCCACACCACCGGAGACGTTGCCTTCATGGTGGCCGCCCGCATCGCCACGAGGAGGCAGCCCACCACGTCTTGGAGGTCGGGCCGAGACCCGTTTGCCACGTCGGCGGTATCCTGGATGGAGGAAGTCGACGGCAGGCCGGTGGACACGCCAGCCGCTAGATCTATGACGGCCTTGCGTTCCTCTACCTGGTAGTTGGCCTGGGCATATTTTGCGACGTCGGGCAACCTAGCCTGGGTGAACCTGGCGTCCCCGGCCTCGAAGGTGACAGAACGCGACCGTGATGAAGACCGAATCACAGGGCTGGAGGCGGCAGCGGCGTACGTCCGAGTCACCGATGCCGACGGAGCAGGAGCGGCAGCAGGGGCCGGTCCCAGCACGGAGCGCCCCGCCCGAACCCGAAGGTCGTGTTCGCGCTGTTGATCAGCGCGGGCCTGCTCGGCGACCGACGCGTCCTCTTGTCGGCGGTCGTCGGCGAGCTGGGCGGCCAGCAGGGCCTCTTCCCGTTCCTGGGCTTGTTTTCGCTGGGCGTAGGTCAGGATAGTGTCGGTGTTGGTGGCGCGGCGCGCACGGTACACCGCGATTTCGGCCTGGCGTTCCGCAGTCGCTTTGTTGAACTCTGCATCGAGCCGAGCGTTGCGGTCCCGAAGAGCCGCTTCGCGGTCGAGGTCGCCCGCCTCGCCCGCTTCCTGGCGAACTCGGGAGGAGAGGGCCAGCAGCCGCTGGTCGTCGGTCATGCAGTACCACAGGATTGAACAAACCCAACGAGGGTGCTGCGGAGGTGCCGACGAGGTCGGGGGTGCCGCCGAAGCTGCGGGTGCCGCCAAAGCCGCTGGGGCTGACGAAACAGCGAGGGGCGCCGAAGCAGCGGGGGCCGCCGAAGCAGCGAGAGCCGCCGAAGCAGCGGGAGCAACTCAAGTCGTAGTTGCCGCCGAAGCCGTGGAAAGCGGGGCCAGGGGGACCGGCGACGCCGGGCGGGGGGTAGCCGAAGACCTCTCGCCGGCGCCAGCGGTCGTTGCTCGGATCGCAGGGGTGGAGACGGCTCCACCAGCGAGGGAGGCCGCCTCAGGGTTGGCCACAAGCTGGTGGCGACCATGGTAGATTGTCGGAGGAGGTCGCGAAGCCGACGGTTGTCGTTTTCTGCCATTTTAAGAAGGGGGTAAAGCAGTGGAAGTGGCGGCACGTTCGTGTGAGGAAGAGATCATGGGGGGGGGTGAAGGCACCGCTTTATGCAAAATAACAGGTGCATCGGCAGACGGTTCTGCAGGAGTAACCGAGGTTACTGCTCGAGGAGCCGAGGCCGCAACTAGCGTGCGAACAGCAGTCAACACGGCGGACATAGAGTCGGCTGTGGGTACGCGTGCAGCAGTGAGGGATGCAGTCCGAGACGAAGCTACTGGCACGGTAACTGCTGGGTAAATGATAGCCGAACGTGTACGCCGGGCGCCCATAGAACGAACGCGGGGAATAGCCATCATTGGAGGCAAAGGCGGAGCTACAGGAATAGATGCAGCAGAGGCAGTCGAAACTGGAGGCATCGACGGAGCTACTGAAGCCAATGCATTTGAAACAGTCGAAACTGGGGCTGGCAGTTGGACAGCTACGGGGACAAAGGTAGCGGAAGCGGGAGATGCTGCAGACTTGCGGGGAGCTACTGCAGCAGATGATGGGGCAGCAACCGAAATTGCAGTTGAAGTAGTCGAAACTATAGAAACAGGTGCATCAAGACCACGGGAAGCAGCCACGGCAGTCGAAACGAAATGCGCTGATGCAACGGGGGCAGTCGAAACTGCTGAGACGGTTGCATTGGAAGCGGTCGGAACCGCAAAGGCAGTCGAAACCACCGGAACAGATGCATGTGAAGCAGTCAAATCCAAAGGTACGTTTATGAATGTAAAGCACGCTGTACGTTTATGCCGACAACGCCAAGTGCGACGGATATGCCGCGCGGTGCAATCTGGGAGACGTGAAGACGAACTCATCGTGTAGAATAGCTGCAGTAGCTGTTGCCGAGGGAAGGTAGAGGACTGTCTAAGATGGGGCCAGGATCAGCTACTCAAGCAGGGGCTACTAGATCCTGTCCCCTGTTTTATCCTTCCGTGGGGAGTTACATCTCCCGCACTTTCCTCTGGGCATTAACCCGCACTGCCGTTGGTACTTTCCTACACATTCAAATCCCATAACAGTTAACACCAGCGCACGCGAAGGGTCTCCCACACTTCTACAGTTTTCCCAAACGCCCCATGGGTGACCCATGGGCGGCCCATTGCGTGACCCATGTTCGTGGGTCTGCGAACATTGGTGTTGGATACACGTGCTGGATGATTTGGTGTCACGCAGACTGGTAAGATTGCCGTTTGATAGGGGGCACCGCGATATTCACGGGGCCCCTCCTTGCTGTGGGAGCCGCTCTTCGAGCACTCCCTCTTTCGTCCGTGTGAAGGACGGTCGTCTACCTCTCGTGAAGTGAATACATCACCAAAACACTCTCACCCGATAAATAAGTGGCGTAAGCCGCAAACACTCTAGAGCTTTTGCCCCTCGAGGGAAGCCGCATTGGGATGAGCTCTGCTGGAGACGGAGAGCGCACTTCTGCCAGCGGAGAACAGATCCGCCCGCCGGTGCAGGAGGGCAGCGATGCGGAGCTTGCAAGTTTGCAACTGCAGGTCTCACGATTGACAGCCCTGGTGGAGGAGTCGATAAAGAGAAAGAGCCTGGCAGCGTCGTGGCGGATGCAGCCAGTAG